TGAGCACAACGACCAGGAAGTAGCGCTCTTGGCAAGGCCTAGAGACGGGGGCTGGGCCACAAACGTCCATGTGTAAAGTCGGAAGGGGAGCAGTGGAACAGGAAAACGCGGGGAGTGAGGGGTGGCGCGGTGCCGAACCTCGACGTAGAGAGTGCACGGCAACGTAGTCGAGGGAGGGAGCAGAGACACTAGGAGGCTTGAGACCAGATGGTGGTGAACCGTGTGATGGAGATGTGAGAAGGAAGAGGAGACCTAGACGGTGGTGCCACAGGAGCGACGGGTGGGTGGGCGATTACCACGACTACGACACAGCTACCTGACCTGGCCCAGCAACCTGGGGGGACTCACTGCGCAGTGTGAAGAGACCTGACGCAGGTTCCCGAGAGAACGTGGCAAGAGTCACCTTAGTGGTAACGCCCGTACAGACTTCAAACCGCTCGTGCGCAAGAAAGGTGACGGTGACGCCGAGTACCTGATGACGACCAACACTCACCAAGTTCCTGGAAACGAGGGGAGGTGTAAACCTGAAAGACGATCCAAAGGGACTGCCAGACATAGGAGTATAGTGGTGCTGCGTGCGAAAACCAGTCTCGAGGAGGGATTGGAGCCGGAAGCAGAAAGTGGGTGGTGGTGTCATGGAAGAATCACTGAGATGCGCAGGAGTCAAGCATCAAGGAGAGTAACGCCCTAGCGGTGGTTGCACCTGGGCTAACAACAACATAAGATCCTGTCAACAGGAGTTGTGTTTGGCCCCATCCTCGCTAGGGCGGAGCCGACCTCGTGGTCGGGTATGCGGGAGGTGCAGTCGACCTGCAGCAGTGGGCGAGCTGGTCGATGGGGCTGGTCAACCTGCACGGGGGCCACTGCAGGGGCGTGACTTCGTGAGGGCGCCGACTTTGGGAGGTCGACTTGGGAGGTCGACCTGTGGAGGGGGTGGACTTGGTGACGCCGACTTGGGGAAGCCGACTTGGGTGGTCGGCTGACAGGTGCGCTGGTCGACCAGGAGTGTGGTCGACCTGGGGCTGGTCGACCAGGTGCGCGGTCGACCTGGTGTGGTCGACTAGTGGTGGTCGTCGACCGTGGTGGTCGATGGGCACAAGGAGGAGCTGCTGGTCGACGTGGTTGCCCAGTCGACCATGTTACATGGGCGATGGGGTGCTGCGGAGGACTTCGACGGTCGCCCAGGTGATTTTGGCGAGGCCGACCTCGGTGTGGTATCCCGAGGTCGACATGGCTGATCAGATGCAGTCGTCAGCACGAGGACGATCTGGTGTGTGTGTTGTGTAGGTGACAAGACACGACGCGCCAATCATCTGCGGGCACCTGCGAAGCGGGTGTGCTGCTGCCCTGTGGGTGCAACGCTGTGCAGACGACTTGCTGCAGCGTTGGCACGCCGTCGACTTACAGTGTTGGCGGGCCGCAACCTTGCACTGCTGGAGCGCGATCGACCGAGTCATGCTGGAACGCGGTTGACCGTGTTGTGCTGGCAGTGGACCTGCTTGCATGCTAGCTTTGATGTAGTCAGCCTAGCCAACTTTGTTGCTATCATTATTCTGAACCATTTTTGTGAAATTTTGCTAGTGAAACGCTTGCCAATTTTCCCCGTGAATGTGCAAGTAGTGTGCACACACGGAAAACGACTAAGGAACGAATGTAGAGATCACTCCTACCCCGTGCCTAGCCCGTACCAGCTCCCGTTGCTAGAGTTATCTCCGCATGGTGCGGTGAGCGTGGACGGCACCGTGACTTACCTTCAGTCCAGCAGACTTAGTACCACTTACCTATCATGTTCGTAGGCTGGTAGCTGTGCGCTAGTAACCATGGTGGTCGCCGTAGGTGACGCTGGTGCAGGAAACACCCTGGAGGCACGGCTGGAGGATGCGAGGAGATGCCACCTGGATGGTGTTTACGGGCCTAACCTCCCCTTGGCGGTCGTCGAGGCAGGCATCCGCGCCTTGTGGGCGGCGGAGCACCCTTCCCGACCATCCTCTCCTCGACCAGTGAACAACGAAGGCAGCGTCGACGTAGGCATCCACGCCGGTGACCAAGTCGGCACCTGTGCGGGAGGCACGTCGAGGCAGAGATGAGTGATTGACGCCGATGAAGTCGGCGGCGTTCAGGCACTGCGGACTCCTCGCATGGCGACGCCAGAGGATGTCGAAGTAGCGTGACGCCGACGTCGGCGACCCACGTGACTGCGGCCGGGATAGCGCCGAGTTACGGCTACTTCAAGTTCACGCCGGACAGGATCGCCGTTAGCCCTCTGCTGGTCGGCCGCCCCGACATCCTCATGTAGAAGGAGGCCATCGAGCCCCAGCTGGAAATGGCCGGGCTGATGTGCTTTGCCACCGGCACCGTGGCGACGCCACCTGAGAGCAACCCCGAGCTGCGTGCGGAGTTTCGCGTTGTGCAGCTGTTGACCTTCACGGTCATCTCGCGGTGCTGCTCGCCGGGCGTGCAGATTGTCTTGAAGCGGGCAGCACCGGCAGTCTGGCGGCGGTGGAAGCGGAGGTGGTAAGCCGGCGAAGGACGCCGACAAGAAAAAGTTGGCCAGGGATGGTGGTCGCGGAGGAGGAGGTCGACGTCGGGAATGCTGGGTGTGTGGCGACCCCGACCACCTCTCCTTCGAGTGCCCCGACAAGAGTGACTCCGACGACGACGACACCAAGGGAGGCCATCGGAGGTCGGCCGAGCATCGCTCTCGCCGGGAGAGCAAGCCGCGCAAGGAGAAGCAATCGACCTCGGCGAAGGACGCCGAGGCGGCAAAGGGCGAGGCGACAAGGAGGCGTCGTGCTCGCTAATCGGCGTCGTGGAGCCGACCGAATCGCTGGCGCCAGAGGCCAGCAAGGACTTCTTGGCAGTGGTGGCAGTTGTGCAGACAAACCCGGCGGTGGTCCTGATCGACAGCGGCTGCACGCACCACCTGATGAGGACAAAGGAGGCCTTCGTCGACCTGGAGCCGAGCGGCGACGTCAAGCATGTGCGCAGCTTCAATGGAGCGCTATAGCACGTCCGAGGTCACGGCATTGTCGCCCTGCAAGGAGAAGCCGGGAAGTAGGTTCTCATCCCCGACGTGCTCTACGTCCCGGGTGTGCAGGCGAACCTGCTGTCGTCCGGCGAGCTGAAGGAGAATGGCGTGAAGCTGCAGGAGGGCGGGGACGGGATGCTCCTCGTCTCGACGGCGGGGGATGTGCTTGGTCAGGCAAAGTATACTGCCCGGGTCTTTCGCACCGACCTGCGCCCGTGCACGGCAACGGCGACGACGCCCACGACGGAGGTGGTGGCCTTGGGGGCGATAGTCTCGGCGATGAAGTCGACGTCGGCACGATGGCACGCCAGGCTTGCGCACATCGGCGTCGACACCATCACGAGCTCGGCAAAGCATGAGGTCGCCAACGGCCTGGACATCAAGCCGTTGGCCAGCATCGACTCTCCGTGTGTCTCGTGCGTCGGTGGGAAACTGGTGCGGCACACCTTCCCCGACAAGGGCTCAGACGCCAAGAACGCCCTGGCCATCGTGCACATCGACTTGTGTGGGCCGTTCTGGGTGGCTGCCAAGGATGGCAGCTTGTACTTCTTGCTGCTGAAGGACCGCAAGACCCACTTCGTGTGGGTGAGGCCGGTCGCCAAGAAGTCGGACGGGCTGCAGGAGATCGCGTAGTGGCTGGTGGTGGTCGAGCGGCAGGCGAAGAAGTCGGTGCTGACGCTGCGCTCTGACCAAAGAGGGGAGTTCCTCGGGAAGGAGTTCACTGCCTTCGTGGATGATAAGGGGATCGTCCATGACTTGACCTGCCCCTACACCCCGCAGCAGAACGGCATGGCGGAGCGGGAGATGAGGACGGTGGTGGAGTCAGTGCGGACGATGCTGCTGCACATGGGCGTGCAGCACCACTGGTGGCACCTCACTCTGCGGCACGCCATCTGGGTCCGCAACTGCCTTGAGAGGTTGACGCTGCCGCCGGGGATGACGCCGTACCAGCTGCTCACCGGGAAGAAGCCTGACTTGTCGCTGGCACGGGTGTGGGGCTGCATGGCGCAATTCTTGGTCCCGAGTAGCAGCGCGGTGGAAAGCTGAAGCCAAAGGCCAGATGGGGCCTTCACCTCAGTGTGTCTGAGGAGAGCAAGGGCTAGGAGCTCCTCGACATCACCGACAGCCGGGTGGCCACCACGTCGGACATGGTAAACTACGAAACCATGTCGTTGGAGGTGTGGAAGTCGGAGTTCGGGGCCGGCGTCGGGGCGGATGCAGGTCAATTCGCCGACGAACAGCGGCGACGCTCCCTTTGCTCGCCGAAATCAGTGAGCTTGCTGAAAAAGACACTGAGGTCGTCCGCCCTTCTTCCCCTTCCCCTGCCCCTCCTACCCCACCCCTTGTCGCCGACTTGCGTAAGCTGGCATCGGCGTCAACCAGCGGCAATGAGGGGAGCAGTGGGGCGTCGCCTGTGGCGTCGGCCAAGAGCATCACCGGTGGCCGGCGTAACGTCAAGCAAGTCGGCATGGGAGTGAAGTTGACGACGAAAAGGGAGAAGGAGGTGTCAGCAGGGAAGCCGCCGACATGGGAGCAGCCGCCAGCGGAGCCGACCAAGGAGCAGTCGGCGACCGGGCAGTCGGCATGGGAGCCAATTACAGGGGAGAAGTCGGCACGGACGCCGACTGTGGTGCAGCAGGACGTCAAGGGCAGCAAAGCCGCTGGCGATGGAGGGGAGCAGTCGGCCGTCGAGTGTCAAAATATATTTATATATATTTAGTATAATTTGCATGTATTGTAGCTGTTGTGCAATTCCCTTGTATGGTGGTGCACTGCTTTCACCTTTGTTAGTTTGCTATATGTACCTTGTGTGCTATAGTGAACATCATCATTCTCGATTCTCCTTGGCACAATCTCCTCAACACTCACTTGGCCTAGGCTACTTAGCCTAGGCCCCTAGTTAAACCCGATTACCAGTCAAGTCAGTATTGTAACATGGTATCAGAGCTTTTATGATCCTAGACCTAAGTTAATGGGCCCACGATTCCCGCCCGCTGCTGCCCGTAGACCCGCCCGTCGCATCCTGGACGTGGCGAACGCGACAGCGGGCCTGTGGCGAGCTCACAGCAGCATGCGCCAACAACTGCCGCCAGCGCGCACGGCAGGAGCCCGCCAGCATCCGAGTCGACGGACCCGCCGTCGGATCCGCCATCGCCAGTGCCAGCACATCCGCCTGCGCAAGCACAGCCGCCCGTCACACCATTGCTTGACGTCCCACTGCTGCCGCGTTAGTGACGGCGAGCTGCGCGAGGGAGCTCGTCACGTTCCCCGTTACGCCCCGTCGCCCCCGCATCCCGTTGCATTTCCTGTCACCCAGTTTCCTGTCGCCCTGCTTACCGTCGCCCCAGCCGCTCCTTAGCCCGCCGTTGCTCTGCCCGTCGCATTACCCCCGCCCCCTGACCGTCAAACCCCTCCCCCCCCCCCCCCCCCCCCCCCCTCTGTCGCGGCTGTTCGCGTGTGCAGCGGCGATCGTTGTGGGGGGGAGAGGGAAGAAGGGAAGGGAGTGGCGGCGGAACGCTGTGGGGGGAGAGGGAAGAGGGGATGGGAGTGGCGACGGAACGCTGTTGGGGGGAGATGGAAGAGGGGAAGGGAGTGGCGGCGGAACGCCAGTGATGATCGCCAGCGCACCGGCGAGTGCTCCATCGCTCACGCACCGCCTGCTGCTGCAGCCCGTCGCCCGCGCACTGCCCTGCCTCTCCCCTCTCGCGGTTGCCGCTGTGGGGGGGAGGTGGAGGGGATGGGGGTGGAGGGTTAGCCGCCGTGAGAAGAACCCCGTCATCCGTCTTCACCCCGTCTGCAACCCGCCCCGTCCTGCCCCACCGTCAGATCCCGCCCCCTACCGTCAGATCCTGCCCTCCACCGTCAGATCACCCTTCCCTACCGTCAGAAACAGCCCTCCACCGTCAGATTTCGCCCCTCCCCTGTCTCCCGCTCCGTTTCCTGCAGGAGGGGGAGGCGGAGGGGTGCTGGCCCGTGGGGGACGGCTGGGGGAGGGGGAGTGGTGGGGGTGGCGACTCATGGGGGGGAGGCTATGGGGGTTGCGGGGGTGGGTGATTCAGCTACAGCACCTACTGCCACTACACCTCCACCTCTCTTTCTCCGTCACTGCTGCTGTGGGAGGGGAGGTTCAGGGGGTGTGGGTGGTGAGAGTTCATCTGCAGAATCAGCCGCCTCCTCCTCCTATCCCCTACCCCATACCTCCCATATCGCACGTACTTCCCCGTGCTTGCCCCGTGCCCATGCCCGTGCCGCCCGTCCGTGTTCCCCGTGCTTGCCCCGTGCCCGTGGCCGTTCCGTCCGCCCGTGTTTCCCGTGCCCATGCCCGTGCTATCGTACCCGGTCGTGCCCCACCCGTTACACCCATGCTGTCCGTACCCAATTGTGCCCCACCCGTTATACCCGTGCTGTCCGTACCCGGTTTTGGCCCACCCGTTACACCCGTGCTGTCCATACCCGGTCGTGCCCCACCTGTTACACCCGTGCTGTCCATACCCGGTTGTGGCCCACCCGTCTCACCCGTGCTGTCCGTACCCAGTCGTGCCCCACCCATTACACCCGTGTTGTCCGTACCCGGTTGTGCCCCACCCGTTTCACCCGTACGTCCCGTGTTTCCCGTGCTGCCCCCGTGCTTCCTGTGCAGCCCTCATATTTCCCGTGCTGTCCGTACCCATTCATGCCCCACCCGTGCTGTTAGTTCTCGCTCGTGCCCCACCCGGTCTGTGCTGCCTGGTCTCGCGCTGCCCATCACCCCCGTGCAGCCTGTCCCGTACATCACCTAGTTGCTACCCGAACCTGCTACCCGTACCCGTGCTCCTCGCACACCGTGCACCTGCTGCGAGGCGTTCAACCGCAGCTGGGCACCTGTTCCACTACGGTGGTTCGGCTGCTGCTTGGTGGTTGCTGCTTGTCAGCTTCAGAGGGGGCCCCTTGCGGGTGTTCCCACGCCCTGTAATGGGGTTTTACAGGTGTACCCCTTCAAGTGGGGCTGTGCACATGGTTATGCATTTCAGGCAGATAGGGGGTGTGTCAAAATAGATTTATATATATCTAGTATAAGTTGCCTATAGTGTAGCTATTGTGCAATTCCCTTGTATGGTGGTGCACCTCTTTCACCTTTGCTAGTTTGCTATATGTACATTGTGTGCTATAGTGAACATCATCCATTCTCGATTCTCCTTGGCAAAAACTCCTTGACACTCACTTGGCCTAGGCTACTAAGTCTAGGCTCTTAGTTAAACCCGGTTACCAATTAAGTCAGTGTTGTAACACCGAGGTGTCCACCGACAACGATGTGGTGGAGGTCCAGCCTGGACTACGGCGTTCAGGCCGAACTCGGAGGCCGCCTAACTACCTGTCCTACCACGCATGCCTGCCGCCGGCTGCCTAAACCACGATGTACAACGAATTCGACGACGGACCGCTGTACGACGACGCCGAGGACGACGTCGACCTGCCTGAGCTCGACCCGGACAAGCACGCCGACCCCGAGCGCCGCTGGGACATCGCGACGATGACGGTGAAGGAGGCGTTGACGAGCTGGAAGGGCAAGGCGGTGAAGGCCGCCATGGAGGAGGAGATCCGCAGCCTTATCGGCATGGGGACTTGGGAGTTGGTTGAACGCCCGCACGGGGTCAACATCATGAAGAACCGGTGGGGGCTGATGACCAAGTACCACATCGACGACACGGTAGCCTGGGAGAAGGCGAGGCTGGTCGCGAAGGGCTTCACGCAAGTGTACAGCGCCAACTACGACGAGACGTACGCGCTGGTGAGCAGCTACGTGACGCTAAGGATCTTCCTCAGCATCGTCGCCGTTCTCGACCTCAACCTGATGCAGCTCGACATGAAGAATGCCTTCCTGCAGAGCAAGCTCAACAGGGTGCTGTCCATGTACCAGTCGGCTTACTACAACGACGGGATCAGCTGGGGTGTGCAAGCAGCTAAAGAGTCTGTACAAGCTCAAGCAGCCACCGTTGTTGTGGTACAAGGCGCTCAACGACGTGCTGGTCGGCGCCGGGTGGAAGAAGAGCCAGGTCGACAAGGCTTTGTACTTCAAGGTCCGCAGAGATGGTGTGGCTTGCTGGGTGCTGGTCTACGTCGACGACCTGCTCGCCACCAGCAGCAGCACCGTGATGCTGAAGGAGGTGAAGGAGCTTCTGGAGGCCGCCTTCAAGCCGCTCGATATATCGCCGGTGGAGAGGTACCTCGGGCTGGAGATTGTGCGCGACAGGTCGGCGAGGAAGTTGTGGTTGCACAAGCAGGGCTATGCCGGCAAGCTGCGCAGGCGGTTCATTGACGAGGAGCAAACTGGGCGCACCCCAAAGACGCCGATCTCAGTCGACGCCTACGCCGAGCTGACGTTCGACGACGAGGAGGCACAAGAGGGCCAGGAGGAGGAGTACTGGTAGAAGGTCGGCTCTCTGCAGTTCGCGGGGACGACGACGAGGCCGGACATCTCCTTTGCATGCAGCAAGCTAGGGTGCGGCCTCATAGTGAGGAGCGACCAGCACTGGCGCGAGGTCGGCCGCTGCCTCGCCTACCTTGCCAATACTCGTGACACCGCCCTGGAGTTCGGCGGTGGACTAGCGTGTTCGTCTACGGAGGGGCCGCAGTCTCCTGGTCGAGCCAGCGCATCAAGCGCGCGACGGTGTCGTCGGCCGAGTCGGAGGACGTGGCGGTAACTGAAGCCAGCAAGGAGGGACGCCGCCTTCGCTTCCTCCTTACAGAGTTCCGGCAACTGGACGCTAGGACGCCGACCATCCTTCGCGTGGACAACAAGTCGGCCATCGGTTGCCGAGGGCATGGGGTTGACGGGCAACCTCAAGCACATGGAGCGGCGACAAGCCTGGCTGCAGCACATTGTGAAGCGCGGAAAGTTTACGCTGAAGTACATTCTGACCACCGAGCAGCTTGCCGACTTCCTGACGAAGGCGTTGCACTATCCAGCCTTCAACCGGTGCTCCGTCGCAATCGGCCAGATGCGCCTGGCCGACGTGGGCAATGTCGATGACAACGTGCAGCAGTAGGTGCCATGCCCTCATGCATGGCTGGTGCAGTGACCGGCGTGCTGTGTATTGTGTGCATGCTGACGGGCTATTCTCCGAGTGGTGCTGCCGTGTGGGCTGGGGACCCAAGCGTGCGCGGCAGGGGAGTGTCAACGGAAGTTGTGTTTGGGGCAGCGGAGCTGACCTCGTGGTCGCGTGTGCGGGGAGGTGCAGCCGACCTGCAGCAGTGGGCGAGCTGGTCCATGGGGCTGGTCGACCTGCACGGGGACTACTGCAGGTGCGCCGACTTCGTGAGGGTGCCGACTTTGGGAGGTCGACTTGGGAGGTCGACCTGTGGAGGGCGTGAACTTGGTGGCGCCGACTTGGGGAAGCTGACTTGGGAGGTTGGCTGACAGGCATGCTAGTCGACCTGAAGTTGGTCGACCAGGAGTGTGGTCGACCTGGGGCTGGTCGACCAAGTGCGCGGTTGACCTGGTGTGGTCGACCAATGGTGGTCGTCGACCTGGGTGGTCGACGGGCACAAGGAGCTGCTGGCCGACGTGGTTGCCCGGTCGACCATGTTACCTGGGCGACGGAGTTCTGCGGAGGACTGTATTGGTCGCCCAGGTGCTATTGGCGAGGCCGACCTCGGTGTGGTATCCCGAGGTCGACATGGCTGATCAAATGCAGTCGTCAGCACAAGGACGATCTGGTGTGTGCATTGTGCAGGTGACAGACACGACGCGCCAATCACCTGCGGGCACCTGCGAAGCGGGTGCAACGCTGTACAACCGACTTGCTGCAGCGTTGGCACGCCGTCGACTTATAGTGTTGGTGGGCCACAACTTTGCCTTGCTGGAGCGCGATCGACCGAGTCATGCTGAAACGCGGTCGACCATGTTGTGTTGGCAGTCATCTTGCTTGCATGCTAGCTTTGATGTAGTCAGCCTAGCCAACTTTGCTGCTATCATTATTCTGAACCATTGTTGTGAACTTTTGCTAGTGAAACTCTTGCCGATTTTCCCTGTGAATGCGCAAGTAGTGAGCACACAAGGAAACGACTAAGGAACGAACGCAGAGGTCACTCCTACCCCATGCCTAGCCCGTAGACCAGCTCCCGTTGCTAGAGTTATCTCCGCAGATCCTACATTAGAAACAGCTATTTTTCCTAGCCTAGGCACACGAATAAGAAGATCTAGCAGCATTATAGTCATCAAGGGACATGACAGGGGTAGAATACAAAGGAGCATGCGCATCAGTTATATCCATAATAAAACTTTGGTGGCCCCGGCGGAGCGCTAAAGCCAAGCCCTTGGCAGGTGCACCGATGCCGGAGCGCTGTTGGTAGAGGCCAGTGAGGCGACCAAAGCACTGCTCAGCAAGGTGAGCATGTTTGCAGACAAAACCACGGCGCAGGTCGATTAGGATCAGGATCGGGTTTGTCTGCGCCTAACCACAAGGGGAGGTGCTGTGGCGGGTGCACCTATAGGAGCACGTGTAGGAGGTGCGAGAGAGTAGCTCAGGCAGCTGCCAGCAGGGGCAGCACGGGCAGCAGTCTAGCAGAGGCGGCACGGACGGCAGCCTCGTAGGGGTGGAATGAGTGGCAGACTAGCTGGGGCAGCACGGGTGGCAATCTCACAGGGTCGGCACGGGCGTAGTCTACCAGGGGCAGTACGGGCGGTAACCTAGTAGGTGGCAGTACGGATGGGTGTTGATGGCAGTGTGGGCGGCAATACCGGGGGGGCTGTGGGCGAAAGTGGGCGGTAATGCGCGCGGCAATACGGGCGGCAAGACAGGCGGCACTAAAGACAGCAGTGGGCGGCAATGCAGGCGGCGGCACGAGCGACAGTACGGGCAGTAGTACGGACGGTGGTACGGGAGGCAGTTTGTGCGGTTGTGGGTGGCAGTGGGTGGCAGCACGAGTGGCAAGACGGGCGGTAGTATGGGTGGCGGCAGGTGGTAGTACGGGCAGTAGCACGGGCGGCTGTACGGGCAGCAGTACGGTGGCCGTACAACCAGCAGTATGGGTGGCTATGGCCGGCAGAATGGGCAGCATTATAGGCGGTATTTTGGGTAGCAGTGGGTGGCAGCACGGGCGGTAGTATGGGCGGCTACGGGCAGCACAGTGGTCGCTGCAGCTGCTGCTGTCGCAGCTAGCGCGCGGTGCGCTGCTACTGCTGCTAGCGTTGTTAGCTACTGCTGCTGCTAGCTGGATTTTGCTCCTAGTGCGTGCGAGCTGCAGCTGCTGTTGCATTGCCATCTGGTGTTGCACGCTAGCTGCTGCTTGGCACTAGCCATCAACGAGAGAACAAAAGATTAAATGAAACAAACAAGGGCATACAAGGGTTGATATAGCAAACAATAGCCCTTGTGCTTGGACAAATATAACACAATATAAAACACCTAGACTAAACTAACAATATATAACAATTATATTTTGACACACCCCCATAGTCTAGGTGATGGTAGTCATATGGAAAACAACACATAGCTCAGGGTGGATCACGAAGTCACCATACAGTCTAAGAGCGAGGGTCGAAGGGACAGTCAGCAAGAACAGACAACGATCACAAGACCATTCCACAAGAACACAAATCTCAGGGTGGATCAAATGATCACCACACAGTCCGAGAGCAAGAAAGGGGCAACAAGGACAGTCCACATGAAAGTATATAGCAAATATAGGAGATGAAAAAGTACAAGACAAGCAAGACAAACATATCTACGTAAGTAAGGGGCCACAAGGCCAGTCCACAAGCATAGATGTAGCAAATATAGTGAGATGCAAGAATACA